TTAGACAAGATTTTGACAGGTACTGATGAAAAGGTGATTAAAAAATTGTATGGATATTTATTAGAAATTAAACTAGAAGAAGAACAAGTTAAAAGAAACTATGATTGCTTGGGGGAAGAATTTTGGATATGGGATTGATCTAGAGAAATGGCAAAAATTGTGGTCTCAAAATTATAAAATGACAATGTCAACAGCATATAAAGTAAATTTGTATAAGATGTTTTACAGGTGGCATTTTCCCCCGACAAGAATAGCAAGAATGTTCAAGAATAAATCCAAAAAATGTTGGAAATGTCATCAGACACCTGGCTCATATTACCATATGTGGTGGATTTGTGCGGACGCTAAAAAATACTGGACTAAAATCCACACCTGGTTGGAAAAAATGACAAAAAAACATAGATTTGAAACCAAAGATATTTTTATTGGGAATTTTACTTGAAATATATAGTAAAGATTTGAAATACTTGATTGTAAATGTATTAACAGCGGCCAGGATTATATTTGCTAAAAACTGGAAAAATGAGAAAACACTATCACAGGAGGAAATCATTAAGAAAATATTGGAATGTGCTGAAATGAGTAGATTGACATTTGAAATTAGAGAACAAGATGATAAACAATTTTATAAACTTTGGGATCTATTCTATCAATGGTTAGACAAAAAAATATAATAATGAAATATGTAGACTTTTAGAAAATAATAAATATATAAAGATGTATTCTTTTCTTCTTTTTTAATAAAATTTTTATTAATTTTCAATAAACAAACATACACAAACAAAACACAAAACATGAAAACATAAAACTTCTTTTTGGAAAGCGGCTTAGTCCCGGGTTACATCTTTTTGTACAGACATAAATTCGAATTCATGCTCACTTTTATATACCATTTCATATCTTATTTACCATTCTACATTTTCTATATAGCTTCTCTCTTTTCACTCTCAATTCTATTTTATTTATTTCATCTCAATTTAAATCATTATGCTTATATCTTTTGTCTGTTCTGTTTCAGTTATCTATTATCTTTTCTCATTAACATAAAATTTCTCCTGTAATCACTGATTGAAGTATGACGCCTTTATATCTTTCCCCTAAATATAACACTTAAAATAGTATATAATTTTCATTCGGATTCTGCTTTGTACATTCTAAAGCTACATACTATATTTTAAAATAAGAAAAAATAATAAGTTTATATTATAATTGAAACAATAATCCATAGCAATTAAACTCTATTGTTAAGTCTTAAACATTTAACACATTCGTTTTGATATTTTATCCCATTTTATAATCGTATAATGTTCCAGTTTTCTAACATTATTTCAAATACAAATACAACAATAGAGTCTTATGTACTTTTGCAGAATCTCTTTTTTGATTATATTTTTACCCATTATCTCTGAAAAAATCCTGTTTCTTTACATCTTGTTTCAAACCTTTGTAGCTTCTCTTCCCTTTTTCCCTTCCTTGCTTCTCCAATCTAGCCTTTTTACCCACTTGTCTCTTGATCTCCACCCTCTTCTGTATTCCTCTTTTCTGTTGCTTTCTGACATTGTATCGATTTTTCACCTTATTTTTCCCCTTTTTGGTTGTTTTTTTAAGTCTTAAATTCTCTATTCTCTTTCCCCACTTTCCCTTTTTTTCCCCAGCTAGAGTTGCTTGTTCGTTAAAGATGGCTTCTTCTTCATCCCAATTTTCTTGTTGTTCTTGTAGTTTCTCATAAGTAGAAATCACCATTTCTAAGAAATGGAAAATAGAGCCAAAAGAGCCCTTCCCTTCTTGTTCCTCTTCTTTATACTTTTTGAATTCCATTTTCAGTTCATCAACAAGTAATGCCATTGTGGAAAATTTTTTAAACAACCCAAATGTTTTTAGTCTTTCAAATAATAATTTCCAAAAGTCCCAAAGTCACCAAGCGATCCAAATGCACACAGACTGTTTCATTTAACACTTTCTTCTTTTTACACTTTCTCTTCCTGGGGTTACAGTTCAGTTACAAAGTTCCAATTAAAATGTATCTTTTAGAAGTCTTGTTACAATTTAGCTCTAGTCTTGTAAATTCCAAGAAGCCTCCTCCAGCAAAATATTAATATTAATTCTTTTCCTCTCCCTTCCCACTTACAGCAAGAAAAGTTTTTTCTCCAATGTTCAGAAATCTTTATTGTCCCCTTGGCTTTAATTTTCCAATTTAATTACCTGCTGATGCCAAAGCTGGTTTTCTCGATTTCTCATTCATCTGCTGTCACCGTAAGGAAGGAAAGTGAGTTTTTTCTCCAATGTTCAGAAATCTTTATTGTCCCCTTGGCTTTAATTTTCCAATTTAATTACCTGCTGATGCCAAAGCGGGTTTTCTCGATTTCTCATTCATCTGCTTTCACCGTAAGGAAGGAAAGTGAGAAAAAACTTTCCCTTTTTACTTTCATTCGCCGCTTTTTCCGAGTCTTCTTTGGGAGCGATGTATCTTTAATGAAATTTAAATTCCAGGGTATTTAAATGTTACTTGTTATCCCGGTCAGCCAAAACTTTCACTGCTCAGCTTCCTCCTGCACATTTTTATCCGGATGAGAGCTTCTTTGTGGCGGCCATTGCTGACCGCCGCTCCACCGCTTTCGGAAAAGGGAGTTAAGCCAGCTGAGGGAGGGGGGTTGCGATTCTCCCAGACCCCTGCCGGATCTCCCCTGTCTTCAGTTACCTCTACGGGGTAACTATAGCCCCAAATCCAGCCGGATCGGGGCACTCCAGCGGCGAGCGCAGCAGAAACCGCACACGATCATGGATTCCTGCCACCGCCGAAGCCCTGCAAACCGGAAGTCATGTATTCTTTTCTTATTATATCTACAAAATGATTCTAAGATAGATTTGGGATGATAATATGAACTGTCATAAAACAAATTAAGTAAAATAGGATTATTTCGTAAAACATGAATGAATAAAAGTATAGTCAAATGATTAATAATGATATTAATGTATTTAATATTTGATTGAAAATACGAGATTATATACAATGTAATTTTAATTGAAGACTACGAAATGGAAGCACAAAACAATTTGTAAACCAACCAGCACACTGTATGTATATATATGGAAGATGACTTGATGTTTTTATGTTTTGTTTATGTTTGTTTTAAAAACCAATACAAAAAAGAAAATTATGTTGCGAGCTGCCCCACCTGTGCTGCTGCAAAGAGAAGACAAGGAAAATCTCCTGGACTTTTACAGACAGTAGCAGACCCTTCTGCACCCTGGAAAGAGATTTCTATGGACTTTATAGTGGAGCTTCCCGAAAGTGCTGGAAATACTGTCATTTGGGTGGTAACTGATCTTTTCTCCAAACAGGTTCACTTTATTCCATGCCAAAAGATCCCAACTGCCAAGGCATTGGCAAAGATGTTTCTAATACACATTTATCGCCTTCATGGAGCTCCCCAACAGATTATCTCAGATAATGTTCAGTTCACATCCAAATTTTGGCAGGCGTTTTTAAACCTATTAGGCTCCACCCAGGGGTTATCATCATCAAATCACCCCCAGACAAACAGAGGTTCTGAACATTCGAACAGCATATTAGAACAATATTTAAGATGTTTTATTAATTACCAACAGGACAATTGGATTGACCTTTTTCCTTTTGCAGAAGTAACATACAATAACTCAGTCCATAGCAGCACAGGGTTCATCCCATTCCAGGTAGCCACGGGCCAAGAATTCAACCCCATGCCGGAACTACCCATCAAAGAATCTGAAATCCCTTCCCTTAAGGTGTGGATAAATAACTTGCAAGCCACGAGGCCAGTGGTAAGATTAGCGTTACAGGAAGCTAGAGCAGCTTTTAAAGTTCAAGCTGACAAAAAACGCTGCGATCCTAAACCTTTCAAGATTGGGGACCGTGTATACCTTTCAAGATTGGGGACCGTCCACAAAATTCTTAAAATCATTACAACCCTCTAAGAAACTAGGGCCAAAATTCATTGGCCCATTCCCCATCTCCAAAATTATTAACCCCGTGATGGTAGAACTTCAACTCCCCAAAACACTTAGGCAGATTAATCCAGTATTTCACTATAGCTTGCTCAAACCGGAGATCACTTCAAACCTCAGACACCCCCCCCTTCCCACATCTCCAACTCCCATCATGGTACATGGGGAACAACATTTTGAAATTAAAGATATCCTTGATTCGCGCACTCACCGTGGATCCACACAATATTTAGTAGTTTGAAAACACCTTCCTTCCACAGAAAATGAGAGGGTAGCCAAACGACATGTAAAAGCACCCACATTACTACGAAAGTTCCACCTAAAATACCCTCACAAACCACCCTAAACTGCAAACATAACGCATGATTTTTGTTTTTTCCAGGTAGACCTATCTGTTTTTAAGGAGGGCAGGATGTCAGATCCGTGTATTTCTTCAATGGAAGAAGAAGGGGGGGGGAGACTGATAAAGAAATCCTTCTTAATGTAACCTGAATATATTTAATCTTATATCAAATTTGTATAACCTACACATGATACAATGGAGAGATGAAATCTAGATGGCCGGAACCTATCACCTCTGAGAGAGACAGCCAGGAGATGAAGAGACCATAAAAATTCCACAGTGAGATGTGTCATGGGAAACTCTGAAAAAGATCGTTCTAAAAAGGGGGGTGGCGGGGAATTAACATGTTGGCTCTTTGTGTCATTAAATACACATCAAGATAAGGGGAGGGGGTTTTAAACTCCCTTATCTATCTCTGCATGCCTCAGAGACTTTAGACGCTGCTTTTAACCCCTACATGAATTGTCTCATCTCAATAACGGATTCCTTTATGATACGTTTTGATACGTTTTCAAAAGTTCATTCTAGTTGATTGAATGGGAAACGTTCCTCACTCAAGAAGGAGAAAGAGAAATAATGGAAATATCCATCTATCTAAAAGCTCAAAACATCTGACCAGCTTTAGGCAGGAATTGCACTTTTCAGTTGTCAGAAATCAGCAGCAGAAACTCACCTGAAGAGGGATTGGAAGAGGCAGCAGGGGGAGTTGGAGAAGTGAAGCCATCAGCAAGGGGCTGAACCCCTGCAGCAGCAGCAACATCTGGGGTAGCAGAGGATGGGGCAGTAGCAGGAGTGAGAGGGGCAGAAGCAGAGGCAGAAGTAGCAGGAAGAGGAGAAGTACCAGCAGAACTGGCAGGGGCTATGTTGAAAGAGGAGGAAGAGGCAGCATTAAGGAGTAGTTCAGGTTAGCAAGGAGGAGAAAAGTTTTTAATCATTGCTATTAGGTTTCAGTCAATTCTTTAAAAATTAGCAAAAAATAAATAAAATGGATAGAGCAGGAATGTTCACACTGAGAGGTTTCCCATTACATATACAGCCAAACACCAAAGTAAAAAAGAAACGGCAATGCATTCTATACATAAAAGCCTCACAAATCTAAATCATGTTGTTTTAGCTGTTGATATAGAACAAGGGTGTCAAACTCGCAGCCCGCAGACCAGATGTTTCACACACTGGCTATGCCCATGCCCATGCCCATGCCTGGTTTAGTGAAAGAGAAAAAAGTCACGATACATCACGTGATGACATGAGTTTGACACCCCTGATATAGAACAAGAGTGCCGTTTGATTCTCTGCAGCTCTCAGAGAAGGCAGGACTAAAATTTGTTTGGGGGCGGAGATTGATGTTTTTGCATTTTGATATTTTTGGGGGGACAAATTGGACGTACTGCACCTTTTATGGTCTCAGGCCAATTTTTCCTATTAACTATTTGACTCCTAATCAACTTCAACAAAAGCTCAACCCAAAACGCAAAATAAAATTTTAAAAACAGGTATTTGACCCCACAGATTCTAATAACTTCCCTCTTTTGGTTGTAATTATTTTCCTGTTTGGAAAGCAAGAATGTGATGACCCAGAGCATGGAAACAAGACAGCCAGAACAAAGGCCTCCTCCAATGGCCCTAGCTCAGTCTTATTCTCCTCCTCAGACTTAGGCTCCGATGGGGCCATAATAAAGGAGGAGGAAAAACAGGAAAACCGTGTTGTTTGGAATTCTTTCCAACTTCCAGAGGTGGCACCTTTTTTTTTTCTGTGTAATGAAGTAGCGTGATACGTGTATGTTTCTCCTCAAAAGTACATATTGCATCTGTGTGTGTCTCAGGGTCCAATCAGAATGGATGCATGTGCATTGCCTGGGTGCGCATGAAAAAGGTCTATTTAGAATGACTACATATATGTTGCCTGATTTTGTATATGTGTCAGGCATCCTAATATACAGTATGTGGGTGGGTAGATGGGTAGATAGAAAGACAGACGCATACATGTCTTTCTGCTCTCACTTCATGTTGCATTTATGTTTACATGTACAAGGTTGACTCAGCCCTCCATCCTTCTGAAGTCAGTAAAATGAGGACCCAGATTGTTGGGGGCAATATGCTGTTTCTGTAAGCTGCTTAGAGAGGGCTGTAAAGCACTGTGAAGCAGTATATGTTATGATCAATTGGAATAAAACAAGAATGCATGTATTTCTTTTATAATACTAGCAAAATCTAGTTTTACTATATCTGCTATTTGTCACATCATTATTATTGCTATTGTTATTTAAATTTATTTGCTGCCCATCTCACCACAAGGAGGGTCTGGGAGGCTTACAACGTTGAGTCACATGGAGTGTGTGAAACAAAATAGCTAAGATTTTAAATAAATCTTAACATTCCAAATTAATGTAAAATATCCACTTCCATTTAAACAGTACTATTCCTAGTACTATTCCTATGATAACTTCATTTGCAATTCCAAACCACTGGCTAATTGAGCACATAATCAAAAGAACAAAATAGGACTAGGAACAAAAGGGACATTACCTGGATACACGCTGGGAGGGGATGGAGTAGGGACAGCAATAGGGACGCCGACACTTCCACTCCCACTGTTCTCTCGACTGCTGCTCCTACTGCTGGGGTGGCTACCTCCACTGCTTCCACTGCTGCTAAAAGAAATCCAAGCCACCAAAGTAACTATAGACCATTCCTTAACAGGTAAACCACAGCTGCACAACATTTATAGAAGCTTGCTAAATTTTCCATTTTGGAGATCAATAAAAATTGAGTATGTTTTTAAAATGTCTTGCCAATGCCTCAGCTAAAATTAGGAAACATCATTCAGGATTAATAGTACAGATGAAATGATCAGAAACAACTCCAAGAGCATTTTCTAAAAATGTTGGTAATATGGGCCTTCGGTGGAAAGAAGCTGATTTCATCTAAAGTGCATCTCTGAAGTAAAAACCTTTATGTATAAAATGTAAATACTCATGAGAGCTTTATAATATATTTTAAGATTTTTCTTTCCTTGTGTACTGCTAGCCTGCTCTGCAGGTTGATTCCACACTGCAAAAACTATTTTACCAGGGCTACTTTCCTACTGCTACAATATACATTCTAAGGGTCGATGGAAATAAATAATATTAGCTACATTTCAAGTCAACTGAACTACACATTTGTTTAAAATTGGCAGCACTTTCACAAGCATCAAAATTTTACCACTTCAGAATTTTGGACATAAATTTCACAGTTGCAGTATTCTTGTTAGCAGGTACCACATTTTAGAAGCTGTGTATCACACCAGTTATAACGAGATAGTAGGCAGCAAAAATAAATACCTTAAATGCAATACTATTTGCGTTACACAATGCAGTAGTGTATTTATTGTATATTGCTTTTGAACAAAACAAAAACCTGTTCCAAGACAAACAACTTCACACTACACAACATGTAGTATCAGCATGATTTCTCTCTATTTCCCAATGGATTTCCCAGGAAATCGCATGAATTTATGAAGCTCTAAGTGGAGAGGTGGGGTGGGGTAGGGTGGTTAAAAGCAGTTTGCTATAAACCGAGTTGTCTATCTTAATTATTGTTAATATTTTGCACAGGAGCAGAGTGAATACCTGTAAGTGCGATTCCTCTGATTCACAGAAGCTGTTCTAACAGGGCTCTGCTGCGAGGGAGCGATATTACGGGTAGGGCTAGGTACATAGTCATTTGGTACCACTGGAGGACGCACTGGCTCCAGTGTGCGATAGGGAGAGTGACGCCTACACAAGAAAAACATGTATGGAAGCAATTTCAGACAATGAAATACAAAAACCTTTTGGCCAAGGCAGTGCAGAATTCCTGCTAGATTGTTCTGCTCAAAAATGCACAGGTCTGGATCCAATGCGCTGCAGGAGTAGCATATGTGTAGGATTTCCTTAGGCCCAGCTTTCCCAGCTGGCATCTATGTAGATAATTCACAAAGAGATCCATGCATGCCTGCCATAAACTATCCCTCCCTCCCTTTTTCCTCAAGACTATTTATGTACTGGGGCAGAAAGGACAGATGGGATTAGGTTATAAGAGGCATGCAGAGAGATCCTATTCCCCTTGATGGTCTGTCATGCTACATGTAACAGGCATCCCTATGCAGAAGAAAAGAAGAGAATAGGATTCTTTGGAACTAAAAAAATCCCCACATTAAGGTACTGGGGGTCATGACATTTTATATTAATCTACTACAGGATATTCAGGCTGGTCATTTTTTCCAAATATATAAGAAAATAGTGTACAGCTATTCAAACTGCAAGCACTAGCCCAAGGGCTTCCACAAAAGAAATGTATCTTATATTTCCAATGATTATGCAACACCTCTTGGTGATATTATGGATAGGTTTATGCTTGCAAGACAGATGCCTTCAAACCCCAGACTGCAGCTTTTAAGTACCTTAATGCCAAGAGACAATTGTAAAAGTTAAAAGAAAGATTTAGCTTTCCCCTTTACATTCTCTCCCTCCCCCTTCTGATGTATATGCAATTATACTTACCCAATAGTTCCTTTCCCTGACATTGGTGGACTGGGCGGTTTCTGTGTGGGTGGTGTGGTACGAGGCAGACCACCCATTTTCATATTCTGCGTGCTAACCTGTGTAAGAGGCAATGGGAAAAAAATAACCTCACTTAAACTTTTCAGACTTAAATTAGAGCCCTTAAAGACTTGATCTACTACATTAAAGAGACAAATGTGCAAATCAAAAAAAAGAAAAAGAAAAAACCAAACTAGTCATACATACGTGTGCTATCTCTACCCTGGTTAAAATTATTAGGTGCACTTAAATTGTGGTTATATGCGGTGTGATGATGTGGTTTTGAGACAGAGTTTGCCTAAAGCCATCACATTTACATTTAGCAAATCTATCTCCATGAAAATTGTTGAGCTTTCTAGGCTCAAGAGTTTTAGACAAATTACCATTCCAAGAACACAGTACTGTAGTTGTCTACTCCAATGAGACTAAAAGGTAACTGTATCTGAAACATTTTATTAGCTGTGCCTTAATTATACTAAATGCATGTATTGATTACTACATGTAATCAATTAAATGTTCAAAACCTGGTTTTAAGCTTGATTCTACTCTTTGTAACAAATTTACAACTGCATATTATATGAAAATCCAATATGATTTTACTGCCTCTGAGAGGTGTTTTTCAGGAACAATTTTCTTTTCATGAATGCCTTACATATAATTTTATTAAATATTCCAAGGAAGTCCTGAAGTATATGAGGTCTCATCAATCAGTTTTATAACAAAATTGGAATGAGAAATGTGAATCCAATTACCTTTTCAATCCAATTAATTATATATCACCATTTGTTAAGGAGAAGTAAAGGTTTGCTGGAGTGAACAGCAACAGGAAGTAGTGATAAAGGCCAATCCAACAGCTTCCCTTGCCCTTTCCATATAAGGTCCTTTCATCATCATGATAATAATTCTATTCAGTCTCTCCCCCTTTATATGGCTTTTGATATAAATCTCCATAAGCTATTTCCCCAAGAATATTGAGATAGAGGGATTCATTCTTGGCATGAAGACCAGAAGAATTTGACCCAAAGAACAGGTAATAAATTTAAATTTAGTTGCAATTATATAAAATTGTTGAAGTCATACATAATAAAACAGAAATAAACTGGGTTATGTCACTAATATCATACATCAAAGGGCAATCAAAATTTCAAGCAGGTAGCTTCTAAACGGATGGTTCATTCTGAGATTATAGGATAAATAATCCAATATTGCCCTAAAGAAAAAAAAATTCAATAAATTTTGAAATGATTTTCATAAGCATTACAGAGGAGAAGGAGCCTCTGTGGCGCAGTGGTTAGAGTACAGTACTGCAAGCTACTTCTGCAGCCAGCTGCCTACAATTTGGCAGTTCAAATCCCACCAGGCTGAAGGTTGACTCAGCCTTCCAAGGTCAGTAAAATGAGGACCCAAATTGTTGGGGGCAATATGCTAACTCTGTAAACTGCTTAGAGAGGGCTGTAAAGCACTATAAAGTGGTATATAAGTGCTATTGCTATTATACATTGTAAATATACTTGTAAATTTTAACATTAAATTCACACTGATATTACTTGATGCTTCTATAAATTGAATTCTAGAAAATATATTATATGTTATGTAACAAAAGATAAATGTTTATATTTATTATGTTGCTGGGATATTATTAATTTTTGTTCTTAATTATTTTTACCATGAATATTTTAATTGTGTTGCAGCAATTTGCAAATCAAAAGTTATAAAAAATAAAATATTATCCTTAATAGTAAATATTTTTTTAAAACCAAGTTGTAATTAGTTACCTCAATTTTTCAGTTAATTATTGTACTGATCATATCAGTAAATCAAACTATATAAATGAGGCTATAAATTCAAGGTATAAATAAGTTGTCTCAAGTTCAATGGAATGTTCTATGAAATAAGCAGGATTTTTATCAATCATAAATATGACAGAAATTGTGATTATTTCTCTGTAGATAAAAAAATAACTCACTAAGTGAAGGAATCACTGGAGGGTCAGTCAATTTAGTCAGTTTAAGAATTAGGATTTGACATGATGTTTGGAAAGTTCTATTCAACTGTATTTCCTTACCATAAAAGCAACACCAATAATGCATTCACAGTGTCAATAAGTGTATGGGACACCCTACAGTTTAAAGCTTCTGAATTTATCTTAAAAAAATGTAGAAGGAAGGGGACACAATAAATAAAGTCCATGAAGCGTGGCATTCTGCAGCTACCGTTATAATGGAATGTTATGAAACCTGGAGCTGATGGAAACTGTAACTAATATTTGGATGGCATCCAGTTAAACAAGATTTTCAATACTTTATAGTAGTTAATATTTGCAGAATATTTGGTAACTTTATTATTTATATACAATATCCAGAGAATCAGTGCCAAATATATGGAAATATTAATTCAAGATTACTGAATATATTCTAATATTTTTCTAAAATATCTTCCAGCAAGTGTAAATGCACACGAGTTGCTTCACTATTCCTCACAACGTTAAAAATATAGGAGAGAAGTAATAGTAGCTGTGGTGACCTTTAGTAAAGACTAAAGACTTAGGCAGTTATGGCTGTGCCCATTGCTGACGTGCAGGCTTTTATGAATTACCTCAGAAGGAAATAAGTCCTCTGTACTGGGTAGATTGCCTTTCAGATATTTGTTAGACATGTGATATATTGACATTTAACAATATATGTTGTTATATATTGACATTTAATTGAGAATCTGTATTCACTTTCAGAAAAAAATGGCAAAATGCCACAAAGAGGAATGCAAATAGTCAACACCCTGCCATCAAAATACTTATTTGCTAAGGCATGAACAAAACAAAAGATTTAAACACAGCTCAGCTCAACTAATGTTCAAAAACTAAGGTGTGTTTGTCATAAGTGCAATTTCTTGTCATCAGTTATACTGGCTTTTTAAAAAATCAATTCCACATTATTAAATCATCAACTCCTCCAGGGGCAAGGATACAGTAATATCCCTAAGGACAATCCCACTTTAGACTCACAAGAACTTTGTAAACTACATTTAAGTGAATGAGTGGCTGAAAATTATAATTAGCACAGTACAGAACTGAACTCCAAATGCACGCACTAGTTAATTACATGATAAAAGTCACTACGTAAATAAGCCAAAGTTGGCAGCACATGCTACCCAGTACCAAATCCCACCATGTTCAATTCAGCACAACTTTAGGGGCTCTATTGTCCTTTCATCTTTCATCTATATCTGTTCATATTCTTAAAGCAACAAAAGTTACTTATAAAATAAAATCAAAGGGCTCAGGATAATTAGGAGATTCATTCTGGTACTTATAATAGTTATATCTACTCCTCCTTTATTTTAATATAAAAATACTGAGAACATTAAAAGTAACCTTAAATCCTACTTAATACAATGAAGACAACAAACATAGCAGAAACTATATAAACGTATATATTTTCAAAGGAACTATAATATAGATCTGCAATACCAGCCTAACAGTAGCACTGGTGTAGCAGTTCAAAAATTTGCTTAATAATTGAAAGTAAAACTTCAAAACATATAAAACATGCCCCAAGTTATATTTGATTTTGCAAAATAAAATAAATTTGCAAATTCAAACTTGGCTCATAACTGAGATCAAATCACACCATATAAGTAATAATATATAATTACACAGGGGGAGAGAAGACCTGACACAAATTTATATTGATTTGTTTTTTCATGTAAAACCTGATTGCTGAAGCCCTTGCTAGTTCTTTCAGCATCTAGCATATTTTAAGACACAAGAAACATATTAAACATTATTTTCTTCCCATGAACTTGGCAAGAAACAACATTCTCCCCATATGTAATAGTCTCAAATATAAGAATGAAATCCAGCCCTGATGTTTCTTACCTTAAATCTAAGCAACCACTTAATGCATAAATGAAGCAAATAAAAGAGGCAAGAAAGAAAAGCATTGAAAGGTTAGTTGACATTTCAGGATATGAAGAAAGAAGGGAAAAAGAAAAGTTAAGCACTTAGCATCAACTAAATAATGTATCAATAGATCATAGAAAGAGTGATTAAAGCAGAAGGTGTTATGAATAAAGGTTTTCAAAATGAATAACATTTTAAAATATTATTAACAGAATTTGCTAACAAATCTGTTAACAAATAACAATGATAAATTGAATTCGAAAGTATTATTTTGCACATGTAACATATTTGTAAATCTCATACATGCTAAAAAATACTGAGAAAAAAAGTTCACTCAATATAGATTTTAGGGGCTATGAAAATCCTTCAGAAGGTTTAATCCATGTTAAAACAAAGCTCTCTTTGGATCATTAAAACAGTGGAATCTTTTTCCAGATTCACACACCTGCTGTGCCAGCTATCTCTATATACCTGCACAAACCAAGCCACTTCCAGTGGCTTTTTGACTTGCATGTACACACATGCAGAGACAACTGAGAACAGCTTCTGAAGTGTACAAAAGGACACCGCTGTTTTAATTAATCAAAAATAGATTCTTTACACATGATTCCATGTATTCTGAAACACCTCATTTGAAAGAATTTATTCAGCTATATAGGATTTGCTATTTATCCATTCTTCTATTGCTAAATCTATTATATTATGATGAAATATATACCTCTGCCCATGTGTAGACTCCATTACAAAGTTACCGTAAAATAATTATCGTGTTTCTCATAAAATAAGGCCGGGTCTTATTTTAAAACGGCTAGGACGTCTTTTCGGGGGTGACTTAATTTCTTCCCCCATGCGCACCTCCACCTAGAGTGCCCCATGTGCACTCACGTCTCCATGAGGCCGCCACTGGAAGCTCCCCAAAGGTAGAGTCACCAGCCGCTTCTATCTGCTGGTAGAAGCGGCCTCAGAGCGAGCACCCACGCACACTCACCTCGCCACGAAGCTGTTTCTATCAGCCAATGGAAGCTCCCCAAAGGCAGAGTCACTAGCTGCTTTGGGGTGAGGCATGCCTGCCCGCAGGGCGCTTCTGAGAGGAGCGCCCCACGCGCACTCTCCTCGAGGCCGTTTCTATCGGCCGATGGAAGCTCCCAAAAGGCAGAGTCACCAGCCGCTTCCATCGGCTGATAGAAACGGCTTCGTGGCAAGGAGAGTGTGCATGGGAGAGCAGCTGCAAACTTTTCTTAGCAGAAGGGAAGCAAGCTGAGTTTCTCTCTCTCTCTCTCTCTCTCTCTCACACACACACACACACACACACACACACACACACACCACCCCTGCTAGCCCTCGTCCCTGCACCGGGTCAGCCAAGCCCTTCTGGTGAGGGAAGGTTTCAGCATCTGCGGGGTTTCCACCGCCGCCCTCCCCAGGCCAGACCTTTTCCGGGCACCCTGCCAAAGTCACAGGGCAGCCGACCTCCCTTTACCTGCTGCCGCTGCTGGTTTGTGGAGTGGGGGGGCCGCCGGGGAGGGAAGAGGAGGCAGCAGAGCTCGGCTACCCTTAGAAGGGAGATTGGACAGGCTCCCAAAAGGAGACGCAGGAGCGGTCCTCGTGGGAATGCAGCGGGGAAGCGGGGTGAGCGTGAAAGGGTCGTCGCTGCGGCACAGGAGGGTGGGAGGGAGCTGGAGCGAAGAAGGGCTGGGGAGAAGCTAAACCATCCTTTCTATTGCTCTGGTGAGGGCCGAATATTTGCAGAGGCTGGTTGGAAAGGCCTAATTTTAGTATGAACCTTGAGTCGTGGGGGGGGGAGTTGAACAGTGAAGGCATTCTGCACATGATCCGAGGCAATCCTGCCACAGCTCACGGGTGGCGTTGCTAACAGTTGGGGGGAGCCTGAGAACTTCAGCGACGCCTCCTTTACTCACTCTCTCTCTCTCTCTCTCTGAGCGCCTGAAAGAGCGCCCGTCATTAACCAATTAACTGCCAGCCTCGGAATCCCTTATTGCAGCATAATTCGGGATGAGAGAGGAGCCGTAAAACCAGGGACTTGGCGATGAGGTGCAGGTTCTTTTTTTTTTTTTATTGAGTTCAATCACGAGACATTTCTGGATTTCATCGGCCGTCTGAGGTGTTCAGAAGAACTTTTGAAAAACTTGCGGGTCTAACTTTGAGAAGCAATGAGTTCAGTCCTCTCAAATGATCTTTGGAGACCTCCCCTCTCCTTTAGCTAAGGGAGACCTGGGTGATTTTAGGCCAAAAGCTGCCCTGGAGAGATTGATCAGAGAATGGGCAGGAAAACAAAACAGGAACACATTTGGGCTAAGGCCTTTTCTCCCATTCCCTCCGTCGCAATCTCACAATTTTTATCCAGACACAGATACATGTGTGCTTTCTCTCCTGCCCCGCTGGTAGATTCAAACACAACTAATGTGCTCTCCCCTCACCACGAGGCCGTTTCTATCGGCCGATGGAAGCTCCCCAAAGGCAGAGTCACCAGCCGCTTCTACCGATAGAAGCGGCTGGTGACTCTGCCTTTGGGGAGCTTCCATCGGCTGATAGAAATGGCCTCATGGCGAGGGGAGTGCGCACAAGCGCTCGCCCCGAGGCCGCTTCTACCGGCCAATAGAAGCAGCTGGTGACTGCCTTTGGGGGGCTTCCATTGGCCAACAGAAACGGCCTCGTGGCGAAGGGAATGCGCATGGGCACTCGCCCCGAGGTTGCTTCTACCGGCCGATAGAAGCAGCTGGTGACTCTGCCTTTGGGGAGCTTCTATCGGCCGATGTTCTATCAGTAGTAGATCAGGGTATTCTAGCCTAGGCTACCTGCATGGCGCTCCTAAAGGCAAGTTCCCCCCCCCACTTCCCTTCCCATTTCTCTTCACCTCGTGTAGTTCTAACAAACATATGTGAGAAATTGTGGGGAAATGCATGGTTTAAATAAGCCTAAATTTTGGGGGCGGAGCTTAATAAATAATAAACCTCATGCCTAGAAATCATGCTGAGCCTTCCTATTGGTGGAGTCCATATTGTTGGAGAAACACGGTATCTTTCACTTGATTAAAAAAAAGCTAGCAGCTTGTCATCCCAAAGGGCTTTGCAACACTTCAGATTTAAAAAGAAATAGATGCTTTGGAGCATACAGCATGCTCCCTGAATCAGGGTTCTCAAACAAGTATCACAAATAACTTATAAACTGGACACAGCTCCTTTTTAAGACTTTCTGCTTTGCACAAATAAAATAGGGCATTATCAAAATCTGTTCTGACTATATCGTTTTCCACAAATAACTTTTATTTCTAAGTATGTTTATTCTGGTTTTCTATTTATAGCATTCATGTTACAGAATAATTAAATTGCTTGTATACTTCCTTCAAATTGTGTTTATTTGCTCATTACCTCCACTATTCATTACCATTATATTGTAGGTAGGGGCAGCGACTGAACCATATTTAATCAGACTACCCACCAGAACAAGAAAAATGGTTGGCAAAACAGATTTCCCTTTTCTGTGTGAGCAATCCACACCAGTGGTGGGATTCAATTTTTTTTACTACCGGTTCTGTGGGCATGGCTTGGTGGGCGTGGCAAGGGAAGGATACTGTAAAATCTCCAGTCAGAGGTGGTATTTGCTGGTTCTCTGAACTACTCACAATTTCCACTACCGGTTCTCCAGAACTGGTCAGAACCTGCTGAATACCACCTCTGATCCACATTCCTTAAGGTATTCTAGAACATTAACATTCCAGAATAGATTTAGATATAAGGAAGAACCGGAATTTTTGATATTAGATAGAATTCATAAGGATTACAAAAGATGATATAACATGGCTGTATATTTTTGTTGTTACAAATTAAAGCTGCATTTCAAATATTCTTTCAGGTATTTGATTATTGTTTGCCTCCAGGATGGCTATATTGAAAGAAAAACAGAACCAAATATCCTTTCTCATAAATCAAAGGTGCTATGTTATTTTTATAGTCCAAATGTAAATATGTGTAACAGCTACAGAAACTCTGTATTTGTTTTATAAAACCTTAAAGACATGATAACTATAAGAAAAATAACTGTAGTTTATGCATCATCTTCACAATACCACTATCCTATGCATGCAATTTTTAGAGAGTTCACTAATGTTTAAAATGAGAATTTCAATCAAAGGTTACTTTCAGAATAGTTTTATATTATAATCAACATAGAAAATGTTTTCAGTGAAGAGGAAGTTGGATTTAAATATATTTCAAATTTAATAAGCTTCACTGAAGAATCTGAATCATTACATTCTGGATTGTGAAGTAAACAATAATATAATTAATTCACAAACATGCATTTCTTTGCAAGGTAAATAATTCTCTAGAAAATACGTATTTTTTGTCATTTCTGCTACTATGCTGACTGAAAATGTTGCAAGTACTGTAAATTGTTCTTTTTCACATTAACTTTTTCCTTTTTGTTGATATTTTCACATCTTTTAATTACTTTGTATCTTTTAAGGCTGTATTCCAGAGAAGCATGCAAGAAAATGAACAAACTTTACACATGCAATTAAGTGTGTAGCTACACAGTGCATGCATATACATTTAATATGTAATTCTACATGTAATTTAGCAACACTTAAATCATAGGTGTTGTTAGAGCCACATACCCAATGGATCCTAGTTATTTTTTTCTGGTTTATCTTACTTTTCTGCTTTAAAAGGATATTAAAAGATTAGCTCCTTAATTTTGCTTATTATGCAAGTCTGGAATTAACTGAGTCTAGAATCAAGAGAGTAGGCAGCAGACAAATCCATATAATAAATATAAATAAATTGGTCTGACCAAAGGAAAGATTAATGTTTACAATAGTAGTGTAATAAGTTCACAACTAAACAGAAAAGAGGTATTATATTGTCAGTCAGTACTGCTTGATAACCAAATCAAAATCAAGAAGGGGACATGCATTTTATCTTATTTTTTGCTCATTGAGACACAAAGAACAATACAGTACAGAATCAATAATATAAAAGGTAAACAAACCATGCTATTAATTGGAGAATGCAAGGGAGCCTCTCCACACAAAAAAATTTTCATTCTTAAAATATACATTTGAATTATTTCATTTTGCCACTTACCTTTACCCCATGTCCAATATCATCAAGAATTGTATAATCAATAGGTTTCCTGATATAACGAACAGGTCGCTCCAAGTTGGCTGGTGCAATGATCTTGTGAGTTCTTGAAGTGTTTTTGTTTGTAGTCAAGATGCCAATTTCTCTTCTAGCCACTTTTTCCTTGTGTATATCAACTGTCTACAGGCATAATGAATATAGGTATTTTTTTTTAAATCATCATTAAAGATCATTAAATAAAACAGGTACAAGAGTTACGTTTTATTTCTTTTGTTATAATAACATTTAATTTAATACAAAAACTTCTGAGGTATACAGAATAGTCCTTATACTAATGCTATACTAAGTAATTAAAGAAAAAAAAACAAATTTTTTTAAAATACAATACATTGATAATTGAAAATGACATACATTGTCGTAAGTTACATTTTCCCTAACATTAAGTGAAAATATATTCCTTTCAGAAACATGATTCTATGTTCATGAATCATTCTATGTGATTAACAGTGTTATGGATTTCTTTTGTACATTGATTACCGTCTATTATAAATACCTAGGTCTGCTGCTCTCTAAGATCTCTACAGAAACTTAACATTAGATACAACTATGCAAAACATTTACTGTCCCAATATGGACTTCCTGGAATGAAAGGAATAATTTTATGCCATGCTTGCTAATATTGTTTTTATCTAATGTGAGACAGTGTCATGGAAGACAATTATATTTTCAGTGTCTTTGTAGAATTTTTTTTTAATGCTACAGGTCCCAATAACTGAATCAACTCATTGCTATAATTGAACATTTTGGGAAACTGACAATTCAGATTTAAAATTTTAGCAAAATATCCCAAGGAAACAATAAATAGTAATATTCGGCATTTGTTGCAATAATCATACATTTCAAGTGTGAATTTTACATGGTAAAGCTGGCTAATGAAGTTTTTTTATTATTCAAAAAGTGCCTATTTTATTTTCTTCAAGAAAAATAATTATTTTTCCATAAAAACAAAAAGACAGCAGATAGTATCTGCATACAGTGCAACATTCTCTGCATTACACTGACCTTAAATATAAAGTTAGCAAATATGTTATCTTACTTGGGAAATGTGGTTGATTGACGATTCCATTCGCCTAAGCTGGGATGCCTGGATATCCAGCATTTGGAGAACATTATTTGCCAAAGTGTTGATCAGATAGGCTACACTAGCTAAGGACTGAGTAGTGTATGCTTTGGTTTCTTCTAGAGCCCGTTGTTTATCTGGTGACTAAAGAAAAAATAATAATCAAAAATGTACATTTTTCATATACAATTTGTGCATCTTCCAACTTTTTAAGCCAATATACACATTATAGTCATTTTCAGCATTCCAGAAAACCTCCACTCCAACCAGTAACCCCGAGACAGACATCTTCTCAAAAGTTCTTTTTTATTTGGATAGTAAACTGGCACAAATTCCCAAATCTGAAAGTTCTGAGCTTCCTTGCAATAAGTAAAAACTACAAATCCAACTCCTGCACCCATCATCACATAACATGCCCCAATCATCATCCATCAACTTGACACTTCCCCTCACTTATGTGCAAACTAACATGACCTTGAATTAGAAAAAGAATATTATGTTTAACTACATACACTCCAAGAAATTCCCCCCTCCCATTTTCCCAGGCTCAAAAATGTGGCAATGTGGGAGCATCTGGTCTAAATATGGCTTCCAAAGCTGACAGTCATTTCTCACAACTTTCTTAGGTCAAATTGTTCTTTCATGTTTTATTATATAAATTGCTGGCATCAGAAAAAAATGAGAAAAGATAAAAGAACTGGCTTAAAGGAAAAAACTTCCATATAGAGATAGGAGTTTCCTACCTCTAATTGATTCCAAACCATGTATGAAAGTAGCAAATGTAATCTTAATCACACCCGGTAATTCTGAGCAATCATCAATTCATTAAAATGGGGGGGGGGAGATCTATTCAGATGCTATTGGTAATTTAATTTTAGTATTGTTCATAGTCAGAAGAAAAAAGCATTTCTACTTTTTCAGTTTCCAAATTATTTCATAATTTAAAATGCATTACAAGTAGTGCTCGACCTATGACCACGACTGGGAGCAAAATTTCCATTGTTAAACCAGGCAGTTGTTAAATGAGTTGCATGGGATTTTACTATCTTTTTTACTATTTTTTGCAATCACATGGTCCTTAAGTGAATTCAGTTCCCGACTGAGTGTGCTTGTCAGAAGATGGCTGGCCGGGAAGGTCGCCAATAGTGATCACATGGTTCTGGGGCACTGCAATCATTGTAAATAATGCCAGGTGTCAAATACCGAAATTCTGATCAGGTGACTGTGGTGATGCTGCAATGATCATAAAGGCAAGGACTGGTCTCTTTGCAAGTCCCTTTTTTCACTGCCACTGTAACTTCAAACAGTTGCTAAATGAATGATCGTAAATCAAGTTTTCTGTACAGTACAACTAGTCTTCAACTTACAACCATTCATTTAGTGATTGTTCGAAGTTACATCAGCACTGAAAAAAGTGATTTATGTCCATTTTTCATATGACCATTGCAGCATCCCAATGGTTGCATGATCAAAATTCAGACTCTTGGCAACTGGCATGTATTTATGATGGTTGCAATGTCCTGGGGTCATGTGATCACCTTTTGCGACCTTCTGACAAAGAAAGTTAATGGGGAAGCAGATTCACTTAACCAGCTTACATATTTTTTAACAATGCTTTCAAGATATGCACATAGCATTTTCTTAAAATATTTTCCCAAAATATTTTCTTAAAAATAAAGATTATGATTTTTATTTCAGGAATTTAAAAGACACACACACACACACACACACACTCACACACACAAATAGATGGAGCCTGGAAAGAAACAGAATAATGTATCTGCTTCTTATCTGTGCTACACTGGAGTACATGATTTATGCACCATCCAATATATATAAGCCTCCCAGAGGCTTATAAGCCTTATTGGTGAGATATATAAGTTCAAATCACTTCTTGGTAACAAAGATCATCAGGCAGCATTGGCAGCTCTAGTGAGCTGTATTTTCAATTCTATCAAGGCACAAAATATTGTTTCACAATACAATGAGATTATTTTCATGCATTAACCTGGAGAAAAATCCACTTCATATGCAAAATCCAGAATCCCCATGTATGCTTATGGGACATGCTAGATGGGATTTTTTAAAAATACTAGTCCAATCATATTTGGAAAACATCAAGCTGGGAGAATAGCTATCAACAGGATTAGATAAAGTCTAGCAAATAATATATGTCCCATTGCCTCCTAAAAATAAAACTGTTTCCTTAGATCCATCAATCAATTAATCAAAACAAAAGAAGCTTAACATATTTATTGTCATTCCCTTAACGATGTGGTATATCGAAAAATGTTTATTAGCTATATTTTTCAAGAAAGCCCAGAGCCAAAACTACAATACAATTCAATACAATATGTAATCCCAATATTATTTCAAGAAAGGAACTATAATAAAATAGATGTAACTTGGTAGTTTCTCTTTTCACCTTTCAGTAATTCCTTTATTGAACAATTTTTCCCCTTGCCACTATAGCCTGGGGAATTTATAAGCAATAAGTACTTTTCATGCAAGTATAAGGGGGGATTGATTAATAAAACATGTTTCATGACAAATAATACGACTGGCATATTTATATCACACATCACAATGAAGTATCTAATGGCAGAATGTGTTAGTTTTGTTCCATGTGTGTATTCATCAATTTTGAATCATAGTAGTTTGCTGTCAACATCGCTGATCAAAGACCATCTGCAATTTTTGTTTCTTCTAGAAAAGACTACTGTAAAAGCTAAAACTGAATAACTAAAAAATGAATATTAAATTCACAGAATTTCATAGAATTTAGGCAAAAAAATTATTTCACTATTAACACTGCATTTTAAATATGGCCAAGGGAATTTGAATTGACCACATAGGTTTATGATCTTCATTCCAAGCACAATGTTTCGTTATTATATTTTATGTTCATCCAATTGACAATCAATAAAATAACAATGACAATTAACAATTAAAAAGCACTACGAGTACAGAACAAAAACTGGTTAAAACAGTCATCATATTAAATGTGTTTAGCCATAAGTAGGCTCAATGTGAGTATTTATGATATCCTTTCTTCTCAGATTTACCATTACAATCCGTGTCAGATATGCATTGTCAAAAAACCAGCATATTTCTGAACAAGCAGTATATTTATTTAATTGAGTAAAAAACCAATAGAGTACTCTAGTTATCTTTCAATTTGAAGGGTTTTTTTAAATACATTTTTTATTTTTTGTTTCTATAAACACATCATTGTGTGAACAGTGTGGTTCCAAGGTGCTTTACATTTTAAAACAAACATGACAATATTTTCACATTGGTATTATTGACTTTCTTCCATAATTTGATATTAATACATATTATCAGTCTTAATCATTCAATATTCTCATATACTATTTTGTATCAATCTCTACATCCTTAACATCTCTTCTTTTATCATGGATTCTATATTAATACCGTGTTTCTCCAACAATACGGCCTCCACCAATAGGAAGCCCCACCATGTTTTATTGGCATAAAATCAAATTAAGCCCCTCCCCCCAAATTAAGCCCCATATTAAACATGCGAAATGGGGGGGGAGAGCGGGGGGGGGCTTGCCGTTAGTAAGTACTTTTGTTGCATGCCCGGATATGGTGCTGCCTACGTTGGTGGGGCACTTCATATCGGGAGACCTTCCACCGTTGCTTCTCCCTTCTCCCTTGCTGCCCCTTCTCCCTTGCTGCCGCGGCGTTTGGCGCAGCCATGTGCGGCCAGTCACGGCTCCTCTCTGCAACCGGAGCCCTGAGGAGACACTTGGCTTCAGGCGCTCCCGTCTTCCCTTTGCTTTCGAAGGTAAAGCGAATTATTTTACAAAGCCTCCCCTGCCTGAGAGGGCAGCCCAACCCCACGTGGGGAGGCTAATCTCCCGGGGCCTCTTCCGTTCCTCCCCGACCTCCCTACGCTGCGCGCCTAATAATTCGCTTTACCTTCGAAAGCAAAGGGAAGACGGGAGCGCCTGAAGCCAAGTGTCTCCTCAGGGCTCCGGTTGCAGGGAGGAGCCCTGACTGGCCGCACGTGGCTGCGCCAAACACCGCGGCAGCAAGGGAGAAGGGAAAGCAACGGTGGCCCGAACCCGAAGGTCTCCCGAATATCCAAGCTGTCGCCGCCCGCCCACCCACCCGAGGATGCAAGGGGGGAGAATTAAGTCACCCCCCGAAAAGACGTCCTAGCCGTTTTTTCGGGGGTCAAAAAAAAATAAGGCCCGGCCTTATTATGTGAGAAACACGGTAGTTATATTTGCAATGTTCAACGAATTATATATACACATCATTTCATGAGCAGTGTGGTTCCAGATTATTTTACATTTTAGAACAAACACGAAAGTAATTTCACCTTGATATTATTATTATTCACCTTGATATTACATGATTTGATATTAATACATAATATCAATCATAATTATTCAATATTCTCATATACTGTTTTGTATCAGTCTCTATATTCTTAACTTCCCTTATTTTGTTATATAGTCCATATTAATAGTCATATTTGCAGTATTTATCTAATTGTATATTTCAAATAGCCATTCATAAATTCATGTTAATTTATGTTTTCTACTTATTTATCCCCTTTTTAATTTTTGGTTATGACACCATTACACCTAAAACAAAATTTCTTCCTACTCCCAATTATAATAAAACAAACAATATACATCCTATTGACATTTAACTTATTATACCGTTCTAGTTATACTATACTCCCCTTTAGCTATTAGCATATTTTACCTTATTTTCAAATCTGTCAGATTCCACATAATTTCTTTTCCTACCTCAGAGTATTAGTTTTTTATTTCTTACAGTTCAATTGTATATCTTTAATGCTAATCCTCTAATACCATATTAATTTCATATTTATTACTATTAACAATTATACATCTTAAATATTAATGCATACATTCATGTGGAATCCTTATCTTTTCCTCTTCAGCCATCATCTCTTGTTCTCATAATTAATTCATCTCTTTCTACTGTGTTTCTCCAACAATACGACCTCCCCCAATAGGAAGACCCAGCATGTTTTCTAGGCATAAAATGAAATTAAGCCCCTCCTCCCAAATTTAGGCCTATTTTAAAAAATGCAAAATGGGGGGAAGGGCCGTTAGGACTTGCCGTTAGGAGCGCCCCGC